AACTGTTGGCGCTACATAAATACTATGTAATAATAATAATATAACAGGAGGAGCTGGAAAATGGACGGGGACCCCCATATTTTTTGGTGGACAGGAGCAGAGCCGGGAATGATGGAGGAAGCTCTCACTGCATGAGCATCCAGGACATACAATATAAGACGGGGGATGGGTAAGCCCGCCAGACCGGGCTGCACTTATATCCCAACCTATAAAGTATTGTTTTCGGGTGGATGATCACATGTTGTATTGCAGCAAATTTTAGGTGGAAGTATTAATGTGATATTTTATTTCAGCAGGAAGTTCAGTCTCCCGGGACGTACTCGCAGGGAACCACCCGAAGATACATCGTCCAGAACAATGAGCAGGTATTGTGTGATATGGAAAGTATGACGGAGATATAACGGAACATTCCAGATGGTTAGAATGATATTGATAACTTCTAATGTATGAAAATATCTCATCCCGTCCATGAGAGGGGAGTTCATTACACCTGAAGGATTGATACATTGGATCTCTCCTGAGTATTGATACATTGGATCTCTCCTGAGTATTGATACCTTGGCTCTCTGCCTGAGTATTGATACCTTGGCTCTCTGCCTGAGTATTGATACCTTGGCTCTCTGCCTGAGTATTGATACCTTGGCTCTCTGCCTGAGTATTGATACCTTGGCTCTCTGCCTGAGTATTGATACCTTGGCTCTCAGCCTGTGCTGAGTACCCAACCCTACACACCTGCTGTGCCCATTATGAGGGGTTCCCACCATCCCTGCTTGGTTTTATAATAGCTTTACATTATGGAGACTGTAACAAGCAAATTTGGAACTCACAGAGATGGCAGAGAGTTGTGCTGGAGTATATACGAGGGTGGATGTTGGGTGGAAATGCCGTTTTATATTTAGAATATTCTTACATTAGTGTAATATTTCTGTTCAGCAGGAAGTTCAGTCTCCCGGGCCGTACTCGCAGGGAACCATCCGAAGATACATCGTCCAGAACAATGAGCAGGTATTGTGTGATATGGGAAGACTCCAGACTGAGATACTCGGGGGGATCAGAGATATAGAACCAACTCCTATGAGATCATTACTGTATCCCGTCCCTTCATCACACAAGTCACCATTATTCCTCTCTAAAGAGCTGATAGGATCTCATCCTGCGTATTGATACATTGGATCTCATCCTCAGTATTGATACATTGGATCCCATTCTGAGTATTGATACATTGGATCTCATCCTGGGTATTGATACGATGGGTCTCAGGTTAGGGCCAGATGCTGCACAACAGCTAGGAACCATCATTCAGAACACTAGACCAGGTCTGGATGTGATAATAACTTGACATTATAGAGAATGTAGGAAAGATACAGAGTAGCAACTTATGGCTCCTGGAGTATGCCAGAGGCCAGGGACTGAGTGACCCCCCTCCCCGCCTCCTCCCCTCCAGACTCCACCGATAATGGAAATGCCGTTATCGAATCATTGCAGTAGATGGGATTCAGTGATCGGGATGAAACCAGTTTTTGGTTCGTTTGTTTTTGGAAAATCCATTTTCCTCATTGAGATCCTTAGATGAAATTTACTTGAAAAACATTTTTTCTGCATTCAGAGGATTTTTGGATGTTTTTAGTGTATTTCGGGTAGTTTATGTCGTATCATTTATTGTTCTTTTGTCTTTTGTATTGATACATTGGATCTCTGCCTGTGTATTGATACATTGGGTCTCAGGTTAGGGACAGATGCTGCAGCACACACCACACTGACTTCTACATGCTGCACTACAGCTAGGAGCCATCACTCAGAACCCTTTCCTGGCTTAGTTCTGGCCTTCTCCCCCTGATGATTCTTTCTTGGGATGATTTCCTCCAGAGGATTAGAATCCAAACCATTTGGAAATCTGACTCCCCATCAGCAGCTCTGTTGGTCCTGAATTCTGCAATCACTATATAGACGTAAAGCCGTCTCTCCTCATCGTATCGAATCATTGCAGTAGATGGGATTCAGTGATCGGGATGAAACCAGTTTTTTTAGTTATGACTTGAACACAGCCGCACTCCGCATGTCCTCTTGCATATAATCAGTCTTTATTAAAGTAAGTCAACAAATATAGATCATCATAGCAGTCCCCATGTGCAGAACTCTTAACGCGTTTCACCACTCTGATAGAACATCTCAATGAATAAGCCCGAGTGGTTGAACGTGTTAGAGTTTTGGTGAAATTTACTTGGGAAAACATTTTTTTCTGCATTCAGAGGATTTTTGATGTATCTCCGCCTGTGTATTGATACATTGGATCTCCGCCTGTGTATTGATGCATTGGATCTCTGCTTTCCATACCCTGCAGCGCAGTGATGAGTCGTCACTTGTCCTGTGTTTGGTTCCGAGCACTCACACTGTTGTGTTTCGGTGAAATGGGCATTACTGCAGCGCCCCGACAACGCACGTTACATGCAGGCAATCTTCTGTATTTCGGATAGTTTCATTTTCCGTTCTTTTGTATTTGTGTTTTTTACTCCTTGTTATGTTTTGTGTATTTGTTATTTTTGTCACTTTAAATGTTTTATTCTACGTTTGTCTGTTTTTTGGGGGGGAATCATTTAAAAAAAAAAGAAAACGAGGCTTCTATATTATAGGGCCGTTCCATAGCACAAAAACAGGTCCAGGGTAGGTGAAAGGAGCTTCCATAACCCTCAACATCTGCTTATTTTTTGCCTTCCTGGAAATTTTTTAATAAAATCTTTCTGTTTTCATTACATCATTTTTTACCTGGTGATGTCATCACTGGGTCCCTGTGCTTCTCTAAGCATTTCAGGCAGCACATGGCTGGTGGAAGGGGCTGACAGGATGCTATACATGCCTCAGTACTCCTCAAGAGCCCTGATGCAAGCAGTGGGCTGGCTCAAGGGAGGAGTTATGCAAAAATCAAAATTCCTTGATGGGTGGATGTCAGTCTGGAGCAGTGGGTGTTCCTAGGCAGGGTGTATTTGCATACAGACCGCCCACATGTGATGATGAGCCGCCGTGATTGAAATATCTGAACTGAAATGCAATGAATGAAAGGTGTCAGCCAGACTGGGGAGGCAAGTGCTAGATGATGCTGGATGTCCTCCTATAAGACTGAAGGGAAGGACGGAGGTCAGATAGAAGACTGAAGGGGAGGATGGAGGTCAGATAGAAGACTGAAGGGAAGGACGGAGGTCAGATAGAAGACTGAAGGGGAGGACAGAGGTCGGGTATAATATAATATTTCTCTTTCACAGGAGGTTCAGTCTCCCGGGCCATACACACAGGGAACCGTTAGAAGATACATCGTGCAGAATCCTGAGCAGGTATTGTGTTTAGGAGAAGGAAGATTTCAGATTTAGCTACTTCAAGAGAACCTGTCACCAGAACATTCAATACCACAGCCTCCCATTGGATGATGAGAATTCCATTCATGTCATTCACCTGCAAAATCCGCCCTCCAAAAGCCCTAAGACTGCTGCTGGGCGCCGCCATCTTGGATGTCTCGTCAGTAACCCCGGCAGACTTAGTGTAGTATTCCCCTTTGCTCCTCCCCCAGCAGCTACATAGAAGGTTATGTAGGCAGAGAAGGGGAGGGGCAGTGGAGCTGGGCCAGCACAAACATTATTTAGACACACCCAGAGGAGGAGAGGGCTATGACCTGTAAGGGGGGAGGGGGGTTGGGCTGAGGAAATAGTCACATTTTGCAGAATCTTTAGCGGCAGATTGCAAGAAAAAAAAAATTGGTACCATCAATGTTTAGGTTGGTGACAGGGTCTCTTTAGCTCCTCACCTTGTGCTATTCTCACACTGCAGGAAGTCCAGACGGGGACAGTCAGACGTTACATCGTCCAGAACCCCGAACAGGTAAGATGGTGGGCTTTGGAGGGATGACTGGCCCTTTAAGGATAAATAATGTCACAGATTGGGGGGCGCCGGGTGTCACATTCCGCCGCTTTTCCTACAATGTAACAGATGTGCCGGGGAAGTATTCTTTGTTTAATTGTCCCCCGGAAACCGAATATTCGGAGACACAGAATTGTAGGGGATCTTTGTCGGCGACGCGGATGATTTCTGACACTGAGAGGCTCCCACAGAGCCCAATCATCACATGTGACGTGTACACGTGTCCCACTTCCATGCCTGGCCCATGTATGACCTCCGCAGGAACAATGGTGCCTTCTATGGAGAGAATCCTCCGGACTCACCCTGCCGGATTCTGGGATGAGGAGTGTCAGGAATGATCACTCCCATCATCCGTAGCCGGCTCCCTGCTGTACAGGAATGCGTGTGATCCCGACTCCGAGTTTTATCAGTCTCTGTACAGAGGAGCTTACGCTCTGTCCCCTCCCCCCACATCAGTCTCTGTACAGAGGAGCTTACCCTCTGTCCCCTCCCCCACACAGTCACATCAGTCTCTGTACAGAGGAGCTTACACTCTGTCCCCTCCCCCACACAGTCACACACTATTATTATATATTGATGACATATGTATATTTCCTGCAGGATGTCCAGCAGGAGACGGTTCGGAGGTACATTGTACAGAATCCTGAACAGGTGAGTTGAAAACTGCTTCACATGTGACATGATATATGATGTGTTCCCCATGGTCCCTGTGTGTGCTGTAAAGTAGTCACTGCTCCAAGCTCCGCCCCCCGGAATGGACTACACTCAATACAAATTAGTAAACTAAACCTGAGATTGTAGTCAATCCCGGGGGGGGAGGAGTTTGGAGCGGTGACTACTTCACAACACACACAGGGACCATGGGGAACAGACGTAGCCTCCCCCCTCCAGAAGGAAGGACAGTGTCAGAGATGATTGGAGGATCTCCAGCCGAGTGATACACAAATAAGATACATTGTTGCTCAGAGTTCATGGAGTTTAGCGTCACTTTAAGGCCTCATTCACACACGACGTAAGCAAAATAGTATATTGCGTATATACGAGCGTATATGCATGCACTATGTGCAATCCCAGAATGCATCACTTGTATTGGAAATTTGAATGTGCTGTACGCATGTAGGCGCGTATACGCGCGGCAGTGTGAATGAGACCTAAGACGTTTCACAAGCAGCTCCTCATTAATGACGGAGGACATTCAGTTCTGTTCTCTCTGAACTCCTTCTCAGTTCCACGGATCTCCAGACTAGGCAATCGCTCGATACAGAGCGATTAGGGGCCCATTCGGTATACCGTGCGGCTGCTGGTGTGCATGGGCCCAGAGCAGTGCTGATGCACTCAATTGCGATGCATCATTTTTTTTTTTTTTGTTAAAACTTTATTGAAATGTCACAAGTTTCGGGCTGCGCTGCAAAAAATACAGAAAAAAGTACAACAGCGTGTTGTGTGCCTCGTCTTGTGGCTGCGCTGGAGAAAGAAAGGCCCAGCACAGCCCCAACGCATTAGGCATAGTGGGCTCCTAAGGTTTTTTGATCCGCTGTGGTTACCTACAGACGCGTTCAGCTGTTTTTACAATTTTGTGTTCGCAGTCGTACATGAAAGGAGTCAATTACATGCCAGGGAACAGCGTCGTCGTAGAGAAGACCTACCAAAGACTGGACAATGCCCCAATGGTAAGTCTGGTGGGAGTTCGGCCATCTTGGTTCCTGTTCTTCCCTTCACACAGACTGCTCAATGGATCTGTGAATAACCTAATAGTGTCCCCGTCACTGAACCAGGTTATTGGAGATTCGTCAATGACACCGAGTCCTGCCCGAGATCCACCCCGCCCCCCCAACATGCCTCACCCAACCCTGGGCCTAGTCATAGAGATCCCTATCACACTGTATAGAGATCCCTATAAGACTTACAATATCTCTAGAAGTCTGTAATAATTTGGGAAAAATAATACAAAAGAGATATTTTGCACCTCGAATATTTGCAGCTCAGGAGACAAAACGGGGTGAGTGTATGGAATACATCGGGATAGAGACACAAATGGGAGTATATATATAACATTTCCCGATCACAGTCACATGTGGCAAAGAAGACGATCTCAGGAATAGCGGGAACATTGGAAGCCTCGGCGGAGGAGTCACCAGGAAAGTCTTCTGATATAGAAAGCTCTTCCTGAAGAAAGAAATATTTCCCTAACTTCCTGCCAACTTCATTACCCAAATCTGTATCTCCCCGTACCAGGAACACCATTCCCATCTATAAATAGTCACTTCTCTACTCCCTCCACCGCTGGGGTTTATCTTTCCGCATTGTACAATCACAGGACAAAGGATTACATTAAAGAAGGAAACAAAAGAGTTACAGTTGTATAAAGAAATACATAATAACAAGAGATGTTCAGATACCAAGTACCGTACTCTTGTTACAAGTACCGATACTTTTCCAGCTCCAAGACTGGACTAGAGATACATTCTAAAGTTAGGAGGCCCCTGTCATGTGTAAGGATCACGCGGAGCTCCCGGGATTTCTACATCTCTGTTATAATGTATGATTTTATTTTTATAAACATATATTAGGGGATGCACTGATACCAGTTTTGCGAGTACGAGTACTGATACATTTTTGTTTAGTGTCATGTGACAGTTTTTCTAAAACAATACAGACTAATGATTTCAGGACAGTGGTGGAGAGTTGCAACCGTTGCAACCCTGGTAGTTCTCGTGAAAATGCCAAGTATCGGCACTGGTATCGGTGCATCCCTACATAATATATCCATGAAATAATAAATAAAATGTATAAAAGCCATCACTCCAAGGGTGACTACTTGTGTTTCCCATGATCCCTGTGTGTGTTGTAAAGTAGTCACTGCTCCAAGCTCCCCCCGCCCCCGCGGTATCGACTCCAATCTCAAAACCAATCAGTAAACTCAACCTGATATTGTAGTCCATCCCGGGGGGACTGAGCTTGGAGCGGTGACTACTACTACCAATCAAGTAAGGCCTCATCTTGGAACACTAACTCTTTTCACCTTACACATAGACTATAACTTCAATACAAATTAGCTATCTCAACATGAGATTGTAGTCCATCCCGGTGGGGGGCGGAGGTTGGAGCGGTGACTACTTTACAACACACACAGGGACCATGGGGAACAGACGTAGTCACCCTCCAGAAGGAAGGACAGTGTCAGAGATGATTGGAGGATCTCCAGCCGAGTGATACACAAATAAGATACATTGTTGCTCAGAGTTCGGGGACTCGGAGGGATTTTTATTGTTGCATCTCCTGAGTTTAGTGTCACTTTAAATGTAACAATTCTCTTTGTTTCCTGTGTACAGGACAGACAGGTGCAGCTGGTCCGCGGGAGCAATGTGTCATCTTCATCATCGTCAGTAAATGAACAAGTGATCGAGCAGATTAATCAGAGCAAAGTCTCCGTCCAATCTACAGAGGTGAGCCGCCCGCCTCCGATTGGCAGAGTTAGATTGTCAGCTCACTGAGGTCAGTGCTGGCCGCATTACTTTGTAGGGATGAGATTCAGGTTTGCCGCTACCATGGGATGGAAGTGAATCCTGCCAGTTAGAGATTCCCAGTCCCTGGAAATTTATGTGTAGAGAATGTTTTGTACCCCATAATGCATTGGGGGGGGGGGGCACAGAGCAGCCATAGTGTCAGTATATGGGAAGTTGTCGCAGGGAAAGGTGACAAAGAGATTAGGGTCAGCTAGGAAACTACTTTAATTATGATTGCTAGCTCTTTGGGCAAATCCCCCTTTTACCTTTTTCTTTTGTCCCTTTTTATTGGGGGCTTTTTGTCCTTAATTTCGTGAGTGAATCGAGGTCAGAGGTAACTTTACCTGCCATCCAGTGGCATCACAAGGGGGGGGGGGGGCGGCCTGCACTGGGTGACACCATCAGAAGGGGTGACACCACAAGGACTGACAGTCATTGTGGTGTCCCCCCCTCTGAAAAGTTGGGCACTTGGTCATGGACAGAGAGCCCGACAGTTGCATGAGAGAGGAGGGGACCCGATGGCATTCCTTATACCCCCAAATGAACGTCCCCTCCTCTCTCTGCCAATGTCCATCACCAAGATGGCCGGCGGCAGGTAAGTGCACGTGATGACACCCTGGGGACACCTCTCCTGCCGTCCAATCCACAGCAAATGTTTTCTTCTTACTGCAAGACTTTGTTTAAAAAAATTAACTTTTGTTTTTTATTTGATGCTAAGATGATGACTGACACCTCTCTCTCTCTCTCTCTCCCCCTCTTGCCTCTCTCCTCTCTTGCCTCTCTCCTCTCTTGCCTCTCTCTCTCTCTCTCTCTCCTCTCTTGCCTCTCTCTCTCTCTCTCTCTCCTCTCTTGCCTCTCTCTCTCTCTCTCTCTCCTCTCTTGCCTCTCTCTCTCTCTCTCTCTCCTCTCTTGCCTCTCTCTCTCTCTCTCTCTCCTCTCTTGCCTCTCTCTCTCTCTCTCTCTCCTCTCTTGCCTCTCTCTCTCTCTCTCTCTCCTCTCTTGCCTCTCTCTCTCTCTCTCTCTCCTCTCTTGCCTCTCTCTCTCTCTCTCTCTCCTCTCTTGCCTCTCTCTCTCTCTCTCTCTCCTCTCTTGCCTCTCTCTCTCTCTCTCTCTCCTCTCTTGCCTCTCTCTCTCTCTCTCTCTCCTCTCTTGCCTCTCTCTCTCTCTCTCTCTCCTCTCTTGCCTCTCTCTCTCTCTCTCTCTCCTCTCTTGCCTCTCTCTCTCTCTCTCTCTCCTCTCTTGCCTCTCTCTCTCTCTCTCTCTCCTCTCTTGCCTCTCTCTCTCTCTCTCTCTCCTCTCTTGCCTCTCTCTCTCTCTCTCTCTCCTCTCTTGCCTCTCTCTCTCTCTCTCTCTCCTCTCTTGCCTCTCTCTCTCTCTCTCTCTCCTCTCTTGCCTCTCTCTCTCTCTCTCTCTCCTCTCTTGCCTCTCTCTCTCTCTCTCTCTCCTCTCTTGCCTCTCTCTCTCTCTCTCTCTCCTCTCTTGCCTCTCTCTCTCTCTCTCTCTCCTCTCTTGCCTCTCTCTCTCTCTCTCTCTCCTCTCTTGCCTCTCTCTCTCTCTCTCTCTCCTCTCTTGCCTCTCTCTCTCTCTCTCTCTCCTCTCTTGCCTCTCTCTCTCTCTCTCTCTCCTCTCTTGCCTCTCTCTCTCTCTCTCTCTCCTCTCTTGCCTCTCTCTCTCTCTCTCTCTCCTCTCTTGCCTCTCTCTCTCTCTCTCTCTCCTCTCTTGCCTCTCTCTCTCTCTCTCTCTCCTCTCTTGCCTCTCTCTCTCTCTCTCTCTCCTCTCTTGCCTCTCTCTCTCTCTCTCTCTCCTCTCTTGCCTCTCTCTCTCTCTCTCTCTCCTCTCTTGCCTCTCTCTCTCTCTCTCTCTCCTCTCTTGCCTCTCTCTCTCTCTCTCTCTCCTCTCTTGCCTCTCTCTCTCTCTCTCTCTCCTCTCTTGCCTCTCTCTCTCTCTCTCTCTCCTCTCTTGCCTCTCTCTCTCTCTCTCTCTCCTCTCTTGCCTCTCTCTCTCTCTCTCTCTCCTCTCTTGCCTCTCTCTCTCTCTCTCTCTCCTCTCTTGCCTCTCTCTCTCTCTCTCTCTCCTCTCTTGCCTCTCTCTCTCTCTCTCTCTCCTCTCTTGCCTCTCTCTCTCTCTCTCTCTCCTCTCTTGCCTCTCTCTCTCTCTCTCTCTCCTCTCTTGCCTCTCTCTCTCTCTCTCTCTCCTCTCTTGCCTCTCTCTCTCTCTCTCTCTCCTCTCTTGCCTCTCTCTCTCTCTCTCTCTCCTCTCTTGCCTCTCTCTCTCTCTCTCTCTCCTCTCTTGCCTCTCTCTCTCTCTCTCTCTCCTCTCTTGCCTCTCTCTCTCTCTCTCTCTCCTCTCTTGCCTCTCTCTCTCTCTCTCTCTCCTCTCTTGCCTCTCTCTCTCTCTCTCTCTCCTCTCTTGCCTCTCTCTCTCTCTCTCTCTCCTCTCTTGCCTCTCTCTCTCTCTCTCTCTCCTCTCTTGCCTCTCTCTCTCTCTCTCTCTCCTCTCTTGCCTCTCTCTCTCTCTCTCTCTCCTCTCTTGCCTCTCTCTCTCTCTCTCTCTCCTCTCTTGCCTCTCTCTCTCTCTCTCTCTCCTCTCTTGCCTCTCTCTCTCTCTCTCTCTCCTCTCTTGCCTCTCTCTCTCTCTCTCTCTCCTCTCTTGCCTCTCTCTCTCTCTCTCTCTCCTCTCTTGCCTCTCTCTCTCTCTCTCTCTCCTCTCTTGCCTCTCTCTCTCTCTCTCTCTCCTCTCTTGCCTCTCTCTCTCTCTCTCTCTCCTCTCTTGCCTCTCTCTCTCTCTCTCTCTCCTCTCTTGCCTCTCTCTCTCTCTCTCTCTCCTCTCTTGCCTCTCTCTCTCTCTCTCTCTCCTCTCTTGCCTCTCTCTCTCTCTCTCTCTCCTCTCTTGCCTCTCTCTCTCTCTCTCTCTCCTCTCTTGCCTCTCTCTCTCTCTCTCTCTCCTCTCTTGCCTCTCTCTCTCTCTCTCTCTCCTCTCTTGCCTCTCTCTCTCTCTCTCTCTCCTCTCTTGCCTCTCTCTCTCTCTCTCTCTCCTCTCTTGCCTCTCTCTCTCTCTCTCTCTCCTCTCTTGCCTCTCTCTCTCTCTCTCTCTCCTCTCTTGCCTCTCTCTCTCTCTCTCTCTCCTCTCTTGCCTCTCTCTCTCTCTCTCTCTCTCTCCTCTCTTCTCTCCTGCCTCTCTCTCTCTCTCCTGCCTCTCTCTCCTCTCTCTCCTCTCTTCTCTCCTGCCTCTCTCTCCTCTCTTCTCTCCTCTCTTCTCTCCTGCCTCTCTCTCCTCTCTCTCTCTCTCTCTCCTGCCTCTCTCTCC